TACATTGTTAACTTAAATTAATAATTCGTCAATACGTTCAGAAAATTAATATGTATATGAATAATACTGTATAAGAAGGGATGTTTATTTCAAGAGCCATTTACTTAATAGTTATCGTGGAGCTATTTGTACATACAAAATTTTGCTTAAATTCATATCAAGGAAGAGAAACAGAACTTTGTTTATATACTTGTATTAAGATTATTTACATTTCATTAATTTTAATAATCCTTGCACTTTATAAGAAGTTAATGATCTCTACAAATACTCACGACCGTACGGTAAACGAACCTCAATCTACATTATCTTGGAAAATGAGTTTCACGTATCCTGGGGTTCCTTCAAGAGGGACTGCGCAAAACGGACAAATTGCGATATAACCGTTTGTACCATGCGGTATCGCTACTTTTTCCCAATACCTATAACAAGATTAAACAAATAACAAGGATGACAAATATAATCGCTCTAAAGTCGGGTAAATAAGATCGACGAAACGAATATACAGACTTGACAGTTTTCTCTGTAGCCATATGTCCACAAGGCCTAAATGCGTAAGTAGGTGGGCCACAATCGACGTAAAATGCAGGTTCTATTCCCATAGAAAGTTTGACTACCGAACCGGCTACTAAACACATCGGACATCTTCTCGTGGCTTTGTCCTTTTCTTGGCCCCAGTCATGGTGACCTTGTACGTGACCGCATTTCAGGTAAACATATGGCTGTTGTTGGGTCGAATCTGCGGCTGCTTTACGTGGTATGACTAATGTATTCAGACCGACTGGACATTGTGGTCTTCCGGCATTTATGGCGTCAACTAATTCCTCCAAGTCATGTTTTGTCTATAATGATTGCAAACGATCGTAATAAATGAACACATAAATTTGGCAATCTAATTCGAATATTCAAAGCGCTTTGTTATCTTTACCGGAGACTTGGCAAGTCCTTCAGCCGATCTCCAAAGCAGTGTAGCACCGCACAGGTCGATAAGCGTTCCGTCTTGCAAAATATTATTTTCATCTTCCACGACATTTCCTTTTTGTTGAGCACTTCGACTTTCTCTTAACGAAAATACTCCACCTCCCACACTGACTTCTCTCCAGAATCCACATTGTGCTTCGCCACCACAAAACTGACCTCGTGGGTGCATTATCAATACACCGTTCGTGGTGAGTCCATCGATCTCGCGATTTTCTTGCCACTTCGTAGCTTTTTCCTGCAGTAAAGTGCAACATTATCCATTATAAGCCTGTGTGATAATCTGACAAGGAGTGAAACAGAGACCAAGTATAATAACGTAATAAGGACTCTGACCCCTAAAAAGATATTCCTTGAACTATCAAAACCTGCTGCGTATATTCTTGCGATTCTAGGATCCGCACGGTCGGCTAGAATACGACAAGCAAACCTGCTAATTGTACTCTGAGCAACGCGTCCTTCGTTCGATCCGTCGCTGCCTCCTGCACATGTGTCCATAACTACGAAATCAATTGGAGATTCGGAGGAACGTCCGACCTACAATTTATAAATGAGACAAGGCAAATGTGCTTGAATAGACTTAAAAAATATTCAACCGTATGCTCACCTGAAACATATCGGTCCCTTCATCCTCGGTATACTCTACGATAACTGCTTGACTTCGAGATAACGTGTATGAAATTGAATGTTGTTTAGTGTTGAGGATAGCTTGTGAACTATGAGGCGTTTTCACGATATAATGTTTGCTGCGCTTTACACCATTTGGTGCAGGCCTCCTAAATAAGACGAACTTACTCCTTCGTCTTCCTCTGTCTCCTGGTGGGAGGAATCCATTGTATCTGCAGAACACTCATTTATTTGATGGTATTTCTATAGAAATCATTATATGTATAATGTAAGAGAAATTGACCATCACTTACCCTAGAATAACTAATTCTCCATATTTTACTAGCTGCTTCGGTTTCTCATGGCGATAACTGTGTGACCTATGAGGATTGGCATGTGAATGACTATGATTATGTTTACTGCGTGGACTATGAGGGGCACCAACTGTTTCTCCTTCTTCCACAAGTAATGGGCTTTCACTGCTACCACCGTCAGATCTGAAAAAGATAGGAGCACATTTTATATACAACAATCTACATCGCTTTAGCTCAAATTTCATGATTAGTCTCATTTTATATGTGTGTCTCTTATATAGGTATTTGCTATCTACTATTATAGAACCATTTACTCTTAATGGTACTTAGTTATCAAGTAACGGTTCTATGTTCACTTGTGAAAATAAAGAGGAATTGCATGATAATTCTCCTATACTATAGTGGAAGTATCTAGATTTGCATTTCTTTAATTTTGAATGATTTGAAAATGTTAAAATGCCTTTATACCTGTATATCCATTGTACATACCATGAGACAAAGTTACATTGACAGTTGTTAGGTAAATTGTCCTACTTATTCTAATTAAGAAGGTGGATGTCAGTAACATAGTTCTCATAAGCCAGAAAGTATATGTTGTTACACACTAAAATAAAAAGCTAGTAAACTATTTTGTAATTCATATGAAAGATAAACAGATGCATTAAATAAAATAAAATAATGTTCACTGTTTGTTCTACTTTTCTTGGATGAAATGTTTGAAGTACATATGTAGTATGTAAAGCTAAGCAATCTATCTACATAGATCTCTTGGATTTGGCCTATAGTATGTAATACGTAAACCACTTACTTACCGCAAGGGGCATGGAATACGTTTAGTTACTGGCATCCTCCTTCGAGTAAAATTTACAGATTACTACTTCCACAGTACTTCAAAAGATACTCATAAGGACAGACAGTGTTTAGTATCTTCACGCGGCTGAGCAAATGTGAGCAAGTGCAACGCGGGAAGCTGCAAATTGGTAATTACAATCTGTAATAAGAAACATTCAGTGTAACGATGATGTCTAAACTATTATATGTTTTGATGTGTTCTTATTTTTATTTTTCTAAATAAAGACACAGGAAACATATTAGTTAGCTAATTATTGAGGCACTAAGGCATATTTATAAATCAACTATTTATAGGCAATAAACAGTAGAATTATTTTAATATTTTTACGTATGAATATAAATTTTCATGTTACTTTTTGTAAATAACTGTCTGTTCCTATATATTAATGTGTGTATGAACACGATTGGAGATACAGCCATGGTATTATAACAATGCTAATTCAGTGCATAAGAATAATTATACTATTTTTTTTACTTTCATTACTTGCTCCCTCATGAAATTGCTATGTAGTTTCATTAAATCCATAAACATAGTTAACATAGTCAATTGAACAGCTAATTCATTATCTTATCTAGGTGTTTGTTCTTATCAAAATACTGCACCAATTGATCCTATCAATGTTTACAAGGTAAAGATTACTCCAAAAATAACTATACAACGACC